GGTGCCCGCCCAGACTCTAAGAAGATGAATTTGTTTCACGAAAACCTATCATGTAATCGTTAAGGTTGCCCTTTTAAGGCTATAGTATGACAAATACAGCCCTGTTGCTGCCAACGTAAACTCTACTTAGAACCTGGACTACGAGAGATAAACGCTGTTGAGAGAAACTGTTCAGCGCCAAAAGTTATTATCTCTGATTAATTTTTGGGTAAGCAAATTATTAAGAAAATCTATTAAGCGCCTAAATAGATTAACTATAAAAGGGATTTCCATGCCAGTACTACGGGCCAGGCTTGAGAGCTTTGTCTAGAGCATTTTCGGTTGTATCGTAAATCGTTGGTATTAGGACTGAAGGGCTAAAATCATAGTAAAATGATCACTATGTTGGATAAGATACCTCAAGCAATTATACTCTCAATCGGAGGCATTCGGTTGGCTCTTTATGATAGAGTCAAACACTTTGGCCTGATTCTAGATGGGAAGCTGTCGCTAAACTATAATATTGAGGACATAGTAAAGAAGCTAATAGAGAGTAAGAGATGGACCATAATTAAGTCCACAATATTTTATGGATACCCTTCCGGTGACGCCGTACCGCCCTCACAAGAATTATAAACTACCTCAGCAATACTCACACAATGATATTTAATGCAATGCTTAACACAGCGTTCGTTGGAAAACCTGTTGCATCAAGGGCAAAGACCAGACTTGGAGGCACGGGACTAACAATAATTCGCTTATTTTCCTCTCAAATCCCTTTAGGGATGAATGTACAGGAAGTAGAATTTGCAGAAAGGCTATGGCGAAATTCTACATAGGTGGATCAAAGCTTCACGGATAGGTTGGTGGAGTGATACTTTGTAAAGAGCTCTCTATTAATATCAGATTTAAGATTCTGGTATAACTGTATGGCTGACTTCTTCACCGAGATCACTGGTATTGAACCGTCAACTCTGTCGTACAAAACCAGTGGTCTATCCACTGAGCTGAGTACGAGTCATGTAAACTGCTTTGCAAATAATTTTCGCAGTTTTGCAGGAGGTTAACTCCTTTCATCTAGCTCTGAACTGCACGTTTTGGAGTAGTCTATGTATGTAGTTTCTTTTTTCGATAGTTAGACTGGTAGCGTTTTTGACAATCTCAGCTGCTATTTATTATCCTCTATTCCTTTGTGTCCGGGTACGCAATGGATATGTAGCCTTATCCTTACGTCCAGCCTATCAATGGCTTCCTGGCTTGAAAGGACGTTTTAAGATTATACTCTATATGACGTAACTGTCCGACTGACTGTCTGCATACTTTACTTTTGAGCTGGTTAAATAACCTTACTGCCCCCTGACGTTCAATTCACGGCAGTATATTTCGGTACTCACGGTTACTATTATAGCGCCATATATTCCATAACTCCCTTACGGACAACATCCTACCTGTAGATTTATAAGCACGGTTTTTCGCGGTTAAGTCTGATCGTTTTTCCTGGAGCTTCCGTTAGAGTAGACCTCAATCCAACCATTTTCCATTTGCCCGGGGTAAGGGAATTTTTTACAGCATTCTACCACATCAAAGTGCTATTGAGTAGTATCGGTCTGACTGCATCAGCGCAGGCGACAGCACCCAAGTGAACCAGACATTATTTTGCATGCATATAGGGCGTTACTGGCCCACCTCACCCTTTCCTTAATATTGCACCTGCACAGCAGCTGACTGCCCAAGACAACTCGCAGATAGATAGAGCCCCAGAGGCTCTACAAATTTCAGAATAAATATTGGGGTAGAGAAAGAATGTGCTCATCTACTGGCCATAGATGCCCTGTGCTCCTCTCCCTTTTGCGGTAAATATCCACACACTCCAGAAAGAGGGTAAATGGTGTCCGCTTGGCAGGGTCAAAGAAGCGAAATAGGTCACTTGACGAAATTCTTAAATCATAAAATTGACCGCTTAACCTACAATGGCCCATCAAAAAACCCTAAAATGATTTAGATTGTACCCTCCTAGTAAGCTTTTGGATTTTCGAAGTCGCGAGGGATTTATTGAAAGGAAGGCCCAATGTTCTGTCGGGGTCGAGGCAGCGGGCAGTCTGGCTAACTGATCTGCTTCCCAATTTCCTTTCGACTCCCATGTGCCCTGGAACTCATAGCAATTGCATAGTAGTATTCTAAACCAGAGCCTCTCAATGCACTCCAGGATCACTGAGGATTTAATTTCGAAAGATGGGAGAGCCGTGAGTGCAGGCTGACTGTCGCTTAAAATTAGGAACCCCTCGATTCGTAAGTAATTTTACATGTTTATGCTCTCTGGGATATTTGATATACTCGTACGTATCAGCTTCATATTTAATGTAATGAAAATATATATTCATAAATCGTTATATTAAAAATATACTGGGATTCAAAACAATTTTAGAGCACTAAAATAATATTACTTTGTTACTTTACATGCAGCTGTTTTTTTCATTCTTATAGCCAATTACACGCATTAAAAACATTTTGAAAATTTTCCAAGCCATTATGCTTCGCAATTCATAAATTTTTAAGTACTTCTGCCGGGTATTGCTTTAATAATTTGTAGTGATGAAAAGTATTTGCCCTAGTGTACACTCGCACGCATGTAGATATTTCGAAAATGTAACCAAATGCTTGCCACCTACATAAAAGCAACATAATCATAAAAAATTAATAATTCAGGCAGCTCATTCAACTGCGGGATTTCCACTCAACATTAATGACTGCAGAGCAAAGTAAATATGTAAAATGAAGCAACAGAAGACGCTTGATGTGCTGTTGAAAGCCGAAGCGCACAAAAGGATGAAGAAAGAGGGAAGTAAAATCCACTTTACAGCACCTCATACGCGCTCACACCAAAATTTATTATGTGTTAATTTGTAAAATTGCGCGACAGTGGAACTTTTTGAAAGCCAGCAACTAAGTGGCAGTATGTTGCTCATACGCCATGTAGAGCCACAAAAAAAAAAGAAAAATAATGAAAGCCAGGCAATGACATAAGCAAAGCCAGAGCAGCAGGCTCCACGCATAACTACGAAGATATAAAAAGCTCAGCCTGTCATCGACGCAAAATTTTAATATAAATGATTGACAGTCGAACGTAGTCTCGCAGGGCCAGCACACACATACGTAAGTGCGTATCTTTGTATGTACCTACAGTTAGGTTTCGGATAAAAATATGAAGTGCTTACACATTCATTTATTAAGAAGCTGCCAAGTTGTAGTCTACTAAAAATGAAGTAAGAAAATACTTAATATAAATATGTACATATATGTCACTTACCGTCATATATTCATCCAGGCGATGCTTCCAATTGTCAGAGCGATCGATTAGATTGTTCCATTGCTCGGAGAGTTTGACGACTTCACGGCGAATGCTGCGCGTTAGCTCGCGGCTTTGTTCCTCAGCGCTTAAGTAACGGGAATCGGTGTCGTGTGCTACAAGGCAGATGCGCACATACAACCGCATACGATGAAGATAAAGCGGAAAAGAGAAAAAAAAACAAAAACATCTAAGTGAGCAAAAATATAAAACAAACGTGACTGGTAAAAGTTATAAACAAATATATCGGGTCATATGAAAAGTGTCCGCAATTTTGGAATAAATTAAGAAAAAGGCGAGAACGGCTTAGCAAAGCATTAGTTAAATTCAGTTTCATACATAAATCAAATTTAAAAATGATTTTATTTTATTTTATAAATTTTGTCGGGAGCAGTACGCAACACTTTCATAACCACATCGACAATAGTTCAGGACTATTGCAGAACCTTTTTTTTTCGAACTATCCCGAAATGTTCCCGAACTGATAACAAAATTGTCCTGACGTAGTCCTGAAATGGTTCTGAAAAAATTGTGAACTTGTCCCGCAAGTATCCCGAACAAGCCTTGCGACGTTTCCGACATGATCTCCTACTAGTTCCAAAGTGATCCAAACTAGTTCTGAAATATTCCTGAAAGAGACTCGAACAAGTCTCGAAATGAACCTAAAATAGCCCCAAAATAATCCGGAACCAATTTCAAATGGCCCAAACCTAGTTCAGAAATGGTTCCAAAATTGTCGCGAACTAGTCCCGAAGTGATCCTGAAATAGCTCGGAAACGATCCTGAAGTAGCCCTGAACAGGTCCCGAAACAATCTAAAAAAATCTTGAAACGGACCTACTATGCTTCCTTATTAGTCCTAAAGTCATCCAGAAATAGACCAAAAATATTGCTGCAAATAGCAGAGACTTTTCATGTGACCCAATATGCGTATTGAGAAAATGAAAGGTTAACGCACATATCCAACTGTAGCATATCTGTTTGTTTGTAAGTTAATAATTCTTTGTATTTCTTTCTCAACCGCCGGTGGTGCTCTGACTGCCACATATCAACGTTGACATTTTTGATTACATTGATTGCAAGTGATTAAGTGTTTAGGATCCCTCCCCATATCTGCTTATGCTTTCAGATATTTTTATACACGAGCGCACTTGTGCACAAGGGTATTATAAAACACTCGCTGTTCAGATAAAGTTACCTAGGTCGGGGTATGCCCTCTTCCCATTAAAAAAAACATTTCACCGGGTTCCCAAACCACAATTTAACGTTTAAATAGCTAAAGGTGTAGTTCAAGATGCCTTTTTAATAGAAACTTAGCAAAAATATAAAAATCTTCAAAGAAAACTGATTATTTTTTTATTCAAAGTCAAACCTTATAAAGTCACTTAAGCTACTTTAATTGAACGGCACAGATATGCATAGTTATTTGTATATGTATATGACTCATATTTTTATGTTTTTTTTTATCTTTATCCTTGGCTCCTACGTAGTACTTATGTACTTATTTAATCGTCTTCTGCGCCTGTGTAAACAGAAAATTTTGTGTTCTCACTTTTATGCAAATATTTGTTTGCTTGAGCATTGGTTTGTATCTTTTGTTTTTTCTATTTTCTTTTACCGTATGAATTCTTGGCCAAGCTCAGCCGCAAAAAATTGATTATGCACAGCAGGTCCCGCTTCCAAAAAGAGATTGATATACAAATTAAATATTTTTGGGATTTTCTTTAAAAGTCATTTTGTTTTCAAGTCTGTGCGTGAGCGTTTTATATTTCATACATTTCGCAGCTTTGCACGTAGTGATTAAATTAAAATTTGATTGTGTTCAACAAATAATAGGTATTTTCTAAGCATTTTTTTACAAAAATTAATCGAAGTGAAAATAAAAATAGCTTAAAATTTATTTTGTTTTAGCTCGATTCGTTTAGTAAATTTATAGTTTTTTTATTAGTTTATTATTTTATTTATTTATTTATTTATTTTATTTTAGTTTTATTAGTTTTTTATATTAGTTGTAAAAGAGAGCTGATTGCTATTTGTTGAATAAATGTACCTCGAAGTCAAAATTTAACACACTCAGCAGGGCTGCATGAAAAACTCCATTAATTAGCGCTCAATTAAGCAATAATCGAGCAATTAGGAATTGAAATTTTGTGTGGTAAATCGCGCTTAATTAGCGTGTTAATCGAGAAAGCTTGGATAATTGCTCGTTAGCGGCCTGCCTGATATATGTATGTATTTTTATGGTATAGAAAAACTTTCAGTGTGCTTTCACGTCTTAAAAGAAGTACTAATTTCATACTTCTGTACTCTACCACTTGAAATAGATGCTTATAAATATTTTGAACATCGATGCTATATAATTGATTTTAAGTAACACTAACGACTCTATTCTGTATCAGTAACAAATTCTTGTTACAGTTTTTAAAATTTTCAGTAAAAAAATGTTTGTCGCTGATACAGGATTGGGCTATAAATTATGTAGCCAATAAAAATACTTCAATTTTCTATTTAAAATGTAGATATTAAACATTTTATTTTATTCTGACGCTTACACAATTCGTTAACCCATGCAAGAATAATATTTAACTATGTACAATATTGGCCATTGAAAAACTCTCTCTCCACTAACGATATTTGTATTGTGCGAGTACGTATGCACTTTGCAATGTTTATCATGCAACACTTTGCTGAAAACAATTTCTCTTCAAATGTAATATTTTCTTAGGCACTCGTGCAGAGAAAGCTTGGGTATACGGGTAGAAAGTGATGGACATATTAAAGTGAAGTATGTAAGTGTCTAAGCGATATACAAATACTATTGAGTGAATAGTAAGATATTAGTACTTATTGTAGTTTTTGATAGAGAAAAGTCATAGAATTTAAATCGGTGCTGCGCACTGCCTTGCCCGCGGACAAAGCTCTTTTAAGCTTTCTATACATTTTGTATAGGCGCGAGCCGAGTAAAAGCTCTCTCTGCCCATCTCTGATTTAAATAATACAGATCAAAATTACAAATTAGAGAAAACTAAATTTTTTTATAGCGAAAAGTTTATTCTGTCTTAAATTTGAATGGAACAAAAATGCTTTGTGGCTGTTTATTTCTCAATTAAGTTTTCATTAACTTACTTTAAATATTTTCATGTTGAAGCGAACATGAAATTGTTATATTTCAATGCATTAAAGAGACAATAAAAATTTGACTTGAACATTCATACTGAGAAAAAAGACAATATTTTCATCAAAACAAAATTTAATAAATTCACAACAAAGGAAGATATGAAAAAGCGTGAGCAAACTGGCTGCCAACGCTGGCTGGCGCCAAAAAGCATGCCATGCTGCTGACATGGAAACAAAAATAAAACAAGCTCTTGCGAGCGGTCCCTTTTGCAACCACAAAAGAAGCGCTCGAGGAGGAGATCGAAAATTCAATTGAAAAATTGTCCGTGACAAGCAAAGTATCGAAAGCAACCGATTCAGGCAAAATGTAAAATATCAAATTAAGCGATAAGCAAAATGAAAATGAATAAAATAAAACGCGCTGCACAAAATCAAACTAAAATATGCATATCGCAAACAAAATTGTGGTACAAAATGGGGGAAAAAATCCAGCAATTCTGACTGCAGACTATTGATGGAATGCCGAAATAAACTACGTAAAACGATGAAGCTGCATTACAATACAATCCACATACATACAGTTGTCCACAAAATAATAGGAGTGGGATATTTTAACCTGTTTTGGCTATTTGTCTTTAGTTTATTTAATGTTTCGTATTTTTTTGTAAAAGCCTAGCTGGTAATACAACAAACACCATATAAATTTACATTTTCAAGTTTGTATAAAAATTATAAAAATTCTGCAAATTTTCACCAAAATTTCAAACTATTTAACCAGAATCTTTAGAAAATATGTTGGTATGCAGTTTTGTAGCCCATTCAATTCTAGTCTGAAGAAGTGCAAGTTTCAAGCTGCTAAAAAATTCCGTTGATTTTTGAGAATTTTTTCGGTTGAAGGTGTTTCACGTTTTTTCCATACAAAGTATGTTCGACAATTTTCTTTTATATGTGCCAGCAAAAAAAATTGCCAAAAATCAACGGAATTTTTTAGCAGCTTGAAACTTGCACTTCTTCAGACTAGAATTGAATGGGCTATAAAACTGCATACCAGAATTTTCTCTGAAGATTCTGATTAAAAAGTTTGATATTTTGGTGAAAATTTACAGAATTTTAATAATTTTTGTACAAAGGTTGAAATCTGAATTTATTCGTTGTTTGTTGTATACCCAGCTTGACTTTTGTATAAAAATAATAAACATTAAATAAACAAAAGACAAATAGCAAAAACTGACCAAAATAACGCACTCCTATTATTTTGTGGACCACTGTACATACATGTATGCAAATTTTTTAAGTGCATAAGTGTATGTTGGTAGCAGGTCAGCGGCAGTAGGAAAGCACATATGTACATACATACCCCGCACAGCACATAGCAAAGCATGCATGGCAAATCAAAATGCCGATATGAAAGTGTGCTCTGGATATTTTCCGTATATATTTTGGCATTTTCATGTTGCTGCTTCTCTCTTCCTCCCTCTCGATTTGCATATGATTTCACTTTTATATATTCACAATCAGTGAATGCAATTTGGTAAATTCAATTTTACTTTCGCTTTTGTTTTTTGTTTTGTTTTCATTGATGCTTTTGCATTGTTTATACATTTTCTTCTTTTCGTTGAAAATTTTGAACCTTGGGCGTCTACGGGGCCCAGCACAAATCATGCGGGAGTGAGCGTTTATTTCGTGTTCTGCATATTGTAGCACACATATACATACAGTGACTCAAACAAAAGTTCACACTGTAATTTTTTTTTTAATATTTGCAATGTCGTAAAAGTATTTTCTTTTGTAATTTTGTATGAAATTTTTTTTTATGCTATAACCAAAACCACATAACGCTGGTTTACAGAACAAATTAAACTTTGTAAAAAGCATTTTCCAGGCTAACTTTGGGTCGCCAAACAGGAAAACTATACCCGTTATTTCAAAGAAACGTTTTCAAAATTTTTTCGGAAAATATGTTTGTGGTACTTTTGGCAGTTATTCGTCCAATCGCCGTA